AAATGAATATGGTTGCAATGCGGGGAAATATGTGACAAGTGGCAAGCGCGGGAAAATACGAAACCGCCGAAAAGGGCGGGAAATCGTGACCACGATTGAATTTTTGTTCTAACATCTGATTGGCTGAGTACACAGTATCTTGTGCTATGATTGGCTAAAGGTTCAAGAGCCAATCATCTTAGAGAGAAACACTCCAAAGGAAAAATAAAAAACAACAACAACACTGAAGAAGCAATAATGAACCGATTGATTAAGGGAGTTCACGAACGACGAACTGGAAAATTTTAATTTCCTTATAAGAGCGACGAGTTTGTTTCTAACCACTAGTTATGCAAAATATGATGAGTTTTCGCCAACGTTCATAGTGTTTATGTTTACAGGCAATGTTTCGTAAACCTTCATGCTTTCCGGCGTTCACCTCCACGGTTCTTGTCTTCTATCCGGCCTGAGAAATCAAGAGCTACTGCACACAACCATTTTAACAGTTATTCCGCGGCATACGTGTCATTTGTAGAACGTCACACAATCCATTTTTGCTCAATCTCTAGCGTGGTCATAGCAACGGGACGGAAAATAGTCCATGGTAGTCACGCCACATTTGATTCCGTGACACTACCGCACACTAGAAGCAATTAGTATCGCATGAAACTTGCTTCTCGACAATCACTGCTTGGGAGAATTAATTCACAATTTTTGTTTCCTTGCAAAGCAAGTTTACTTGTTGAGGTTTCCAAGCTTGAAGCAAAGGAGCTTGTGATCACTGGCCATCCCCTGTCCGCAAAATAACGCCTGGAACGTGCGGGTTTTTACTTCATAAATCCGTATGGGTTTCAGTTTTCTCTAGAAAAAAACCGCAGTTATAAAAGTCTTCTTTGTAACTATAGCATACTCTTTTAAAAACTCGTCCAATCGTGCTACGTGACATTATCGTGCCAAGATCCACTGGGGCACAATCGTTTAAAGGCAGGAAGGATCTGGGTACGAGAACTCAACGACCACGTGACTGCAAGCTATAACAACACGCAGGTCGCACTCTTAGGAGGAGGCCTGGTTACTGAGCCATTTTGCGTCGAAGTAGCGTTCACTCTTGAGGTTTCGTCCTCAACAATTCTTGCCACTTTAGACACCGCTTGTGCCGCTGCATCACTGTTGCCGTCTACAACGGCTTGTGCAACTTCTGCGGCGGCCGACGCCGCCTTAATTGCTGACGTGGAATGCTTCGAATTGGAGATCTGCTTGGCAGTGGCGCCCGCGACAGCAGCGGCAACCGCACTGGCGGCCATGCGCCTAATTTGGTCGTCAAGGTTCTCGTTTTCAGCAATTTTGTCCGTTTTGTCGTTCTCGATGTCGGTAAACTCCACGTTTTTGTTCGGTTTAGCGGATGCCGTCTCTGTTCTCAAGTCGACCGATGTCGACGATTCCAGATTAGCGTTGTTCAACACCTACATGAAAAAAAGAAAAAAAGAAAAAAAAAACTGCTTAGAAACACAATACATGCAAATACTATCCTCTACAAGAAAGAAACGGCGGTTGTCACATTTTTGGTAAGATTCCCGTGTGAAAACAGCGTTTTATCGCATACATCTGTTAAACAACATGCCGTTTGTCATTCATGAAAAATATCCTTAAATAAATAACAGCGATCGCATTTTCAGCGGCAACTATCGTTTTTCGGAAATCCTCGTAAAATTTCCGAAGTGTTTCCGATTTTTATATACCAATAAACACATACTCTAAGTAATCGGAACATATTTTACGTCAGCTTCAATTCGTCCGGAATAGCTTAAATATGAAATAAGCGTTTTAAAAATAAGTCTAAAGCTATTTATGAACAAATACAACCCATTTTTTCATTCACATAGCTACAACAGAAATGAAACAAAATAAACTCGAAACTCAAAACGCTGCACTGAAATATCATTCGCCATTTCATAGTTTTACAAGTTATGGAATGATTAGGTTTGACACAAGTGAAAACCGTGGAAAAACACTTCTTGCCTTTGTCAATTTGAAAGAAACCTTAAAAATCCCCAAAAGTTGAAGGAAATTCTGAGAAGTTACCAGCGTGATTTTGTCAACTGCAAGAAAGTAGACCCGGGCGAAATAAAACCTATTTGAATCCATTTTTCCCCACGGGCCAAAATATTTTGATTTAAAACAACTTCAAGCAATAGTTAAATAAGAAAGAAAATACCATTTTTGATTTAAGGTCATTCCCCAGTATTGCATTGGGCATCCTTACTGCGCATAATTTATGGCGTCATTAGCGCGTGTTCGTGCACGCGCACATTGAAAACGTGGCGGATTTTCCTTGATATTGAGTTCTGTCAGTTGAAAAATGGCTATAGCTCACTAATGAGCTCGGGCACCCCAATTTTTTTTCCAGTCATTTTAATCAACTAATCATTA